ACTTTGCAGTTGCACTCTGTAAATGCAGTTGCTCCAGAGCTTAGTAAATGAGGTAAAGCTTCACTTTGCAAAGAATACCCAATCACATGCAAGGAAAATAAAAAAAAGCATTTTTGCTTGCGCATGATTGGATGATAGAAGTCAGCAGAGCTTCCTGTTGTTTATTAAGCTCTGGAGAAACTGCCCTTGCAGCATGCAACTTCACTTTGCAAAGTGCACAGTCTATTTGCCTTTATTAAATCAACCCAAGTGAGAGATCTGAAAGAACAAACACAACAACTATCCACATCAATGAACAGGAGTGCAGAGAGCATGCACAGCATGTACGATCTGGTTGGTGATATCGTGCTGAAACGTAAACAGGTGAATAAAAGACTGGGAGGGGGGATGGGGGTAGGCTTACTGTTTTGCCTTCTTGTAAAACCTGTAGGTGGATTTAGGCTTACTTTCAAAACTTTGCGTCTATTTTTTCTCCCTTTAAAAAAGCTTGTTTTTTAAAGAATCAGTAGTTCCAGATGAAATACACATAGACCTGACTTATCTCAGTGACCCAACCTTTATCAGGTGAGTTACTGTGTGATTTCAATTATAGACAGTTTGCCTGAAAGGAGCGGACTACTGCTGTCTCTTTAGATAGCCCATAATGCTTTTGGAATTCTTTGTTATATTTTTCAAAGATTGTATGCATATAGTAAAAAACAAATATAGCACACCAGGAGAAAAACATATAAACTTAAACTAATCGACTAAGATAACACAAAACTGGTATATTTCAAGACGGCAATTGAATGGAATTCAGGTTTTTGCTTACAGTTTTCCTTGAATTTTGAGCACCAGAACTCAGACCAAAACTGAACAATTTCTGCCAATTCACAAACCTGGGCAATTCAAACTGAGCATCAGATGAAAAAGCAGAGGCATGTCAGCATGGTGAGTACATCCAGAGATATACATAGCTGAAGTTACAAGGAAAGTTAATGGATTGGTGATGCTCTGCCATGCCTCCTGACCCTTGCTATTGGTCAGTGAGGCTACTAATCATAGTAAGGCACCAGCATGGAGGTTTGAGAGGTAGGAACAGTGAGACCACGCCTAAAGTGTTACTAAACCCAGGACCCCGAATTCACTATATCTGGTCTCCCACAGTACACAGAACGTGGAAGTGCACTTATGTTAGTAAATATAAACTGCTAAATACCTTATCTCATCAGCAGTTAGAGCAGTCTTGTGACTTCTACCAGTGTTCAGCAGAGCACATGTTAAAGCTTTTAGGAGGAATTTTCATTCTGCTGTAGGAGGATACATGACCCATGATCTCTGTCTGCACAGTGCTGATTGGCCCTGTGCTGATCAAATGCATTCTCCCAAGGAAAAAAAAAACCTTTATAGCAATACACACCATGTGCAGAGTGTCGCCACACCATATGTCTTACCAGGAGATAAGAGGGGGACACTGGAAGAAGGGGAGAAACAGAGAAGTCAGGATCAAACTGCGGTTTTACACAATGCAGAGGATTAACCCCTTAGGTTCCACAGTGAGTATCCTTTACTATATACACAGACTGATTTTACTGTTATGGGTTTATTAACGCTTTAACTTACAGTAGACTCAAAGGGGTTTATTTACCAAAATGAAAATGAGCATTTGCTTTCCAAGGAAATATTCACTTTGCAAGGAAATGTTCCATTAGCTTAGTGAATGAGATAAAGCTGTGCTGACTTCCATTGTCCAATCATGTGCAAGCAACAAAAAAAAAAGATTTCTTTGCAAAGCATTTTTTTTCCACATTAAATAAGCTCAACAAAAATTCCTTTGCAAAGTGAGCAGCCTCTTTGCCTTTTTGTAAATTAATCCCCAATTGTCTAAATGTGCATATATGTTCAGCTCTTTGACAAGTTCTGTCTTTGCGACAAGCTTTCTTTAATTTAACTAGCTTGTAAAAAAAAAAGAAAAAAAAAAAAAGGTATTTAATTTCTTCAGTGTTTAAATGCTATATGGAAGTTAAAGTTTTCCTAGGCAACATATTTGATTAGTGAGCTGCAGGTTCTGCTGAGCAAAGCATCTACTTACCTGAGCTGGTATGATATAGCCACCTCTAATATGGAAATTAACAGTGTCCAAAGGAGCTGGAAGGGTTTTCCATTCACCTTTACTTTCAAATACTGCACCCTGTAATATTTTTTTTTATAGACAGGATCAGGATTAGTTTAGAAATAAAGCTTTTAAATGTTAATGTAGATATTTTATAACAAAATATGAAAATACATAATTTACAGACATGGAAATTAGAGTAGAATTAAAGTAGGCTTTTTTAAAGTTATGGATAGGCTGGAGAAGACAGAACACAGTACAAGACACAAGGGGGATTTTCCAAATGAGGGCACAGACAGCAGTAGTTATGTAAAGAGATTGAAGGAATGGTGTTCAAAAGTTACAGTGTTTGATGGTTCTTATGGGAAAATGGATATAAATAAACAAATTGTGACTATGGTAAGTCCAGCAAAAAGAAATCTGCTGTGCAGACCAGTATAGTAATACACCTAAAACTTCCGCTAAAAGTGTATGTATTGCTACTTTTTTTTGTTTTAGGTAGCATAGGGCAGGAGTACAACCTCTGCCAGATTTGTATTGCTGAATGTGTCTCCATTGAGTAAAACTATCCCATTTGTTTGTCCTGGTAACAAACAGAAAAATCATAGGAAACCCAAACTTACAGCTGCGCCGGAACCAGAGTGAAAAGGAAATATTCCCTAGGCACAGCAGTTCTGGTGACAAGCGGAGAATATTTTCACTTTGTAGGAATTTCATTTCACTCCCTGATGTGTTTTTAGGAGGTGAAGAGAAATCTTTCCAACAGGACACAGACAGCAATAAAAAATTGAAAGGGGCATTAATCCCTAATCTAGCAACATTATTATTCTCAAGAAAACATTTTATGATCTCGGGAAACCTCTAAAATAAATTTATCATCTACAGCTTGTGGTACATGACTGTGATCAGTGAGTTGTAGATATAAAAATAAATATGTAGATTTAACAAACAATAAGAAAATATAAAACAGAAATAAATACTAAATTGTTCAGAGAAAATAGTTTATGCTATATAGTAGAAAAAGGAAAGTGACCTGCAGACTTCCCTGTAACAACTATGTAGGCCTCTTCCATCCCCTTTTCCCTAGAAACCTTTGCCCAAGACCCCTTAGCTGTTACAGGTTGTCTCTCTTTTCCCTTCTTACCTACTTACCTTACCTACCTGCACCTTCTCACTTCCTATGCTGTTCTCCCCCTCTGCATGGGTTGAACAGGAGAGGGGTTCCCACTGCACCAGGCACCACACAGGCTGGGAGCAAAGTTGGTTTTACAGTTCTAGGGATTCTTGGACTGACATCACCAGAGAGATGGAATTATAAGCCTATGCTTATAGTTTTGGCTCTCTGGCGACGCTATGCTAAATGTCTCCTCCATTCTGGTATTATTTAGTGGTAGCTGCAGGGGGAAAAGTGAAACTACTGTTGGGCAGATAGAAATCGGCTGTTTCTGGAGCCTCTAAAGCATTGCACCAGCGATCAGCACATCACTGGTGACATGCAGGTCTCCCTTTGACCTGTCACTCTATTTATTTGCTCGTACATCCCATACAGGCACTTCTTACTTACAGGAAGATTAATGAACTACTTTATTCAGAACTACAAGCCGACAGCCACAAAGGCTGTGTAGTGTTTTCATCCACAGAACACTGAATGAGTGATGCAGCCGGGGGCAGAGCCCCTCGCGGCCACTTTTTTTAACCGCTTCCCAACCACCCTATAGCAGATATACTGCTACAGGGTGGCAGGGGTGCGCAAAATCACGTGTATATATACGTGCTTTTGTGTTTCCAGGTAGGGAGCGCGCGTGCACACCCTACCCACGCCGCCATTTGTGGCTGTGGATGTCAATCATCGGGTCCCAGTCGGTGATTCCCTGCCGGCGCCTGGTGATTGCCGAGCATCTCCGACAGGGAGGAGGACTGCTTTCTTTAATAGTCCTCCTCCCTGTCAGCTCGGGCACACTGCTCTGGATGGCTGTGCTTGTCTGGGGGGAACACCAATGTCCAATCTCACAATCAGCAATTGGTGTTTTGCCCCAGACGACGTGCGGGTGTACGAAACGCGTAGGAGGAGCCAATAACGCCGTGACGTCACGCTGCCGGAGCAACGTGGAGCTCCGGTGGCCATCTTTGATTCAGGACGGTTAGTCCCATTGCCTACACTGCATACAGTCACTTTACCTGGATGTTTGTCATTTATTTTTTACCTGGATATCTGCTGTTCTTACCTGGATGTTTTACCTTAATAAATCAGTAATACTACACTATGGGTACTCTTCTACTTTAACTCCCCTGGGGAGTATTAATTTGCAGACAACCCAGCATCCAGTTTCCAGAGAGGGAGCCCCCTGTACATCTGGTGAGCTGCACCAATCCATCCCTTAAAGGGATCTCTGGCACCCTTCCAGTTTACATCAGAGGCCCCAGGATCCATATCCATCCTGTGAGGGATTCAACCCCATTCCTGCCCAGATTTGGATGACCTTGATGATATCAGGATTTGTTCTACTAATGCGCAGCACTGTGTGCTGTTCATATTATTGATTGCATAGGAGTTTGAGGAGCATTAAAAACATGTCTCAAGCTCCCACGTTCAATGTTAGTGTGAACAGGGCCTTATATTTGTGCCCTGTGGCTACTAGGGAGATTTGAAATCTACGGTTTTCGACTCTACTAGGTCTTTTTGAGTTAGCATACTGGTTTGAGCTCAAAATAAACAGCATGCATGATGAAGAGAATCACCAATGGTGTTCAATGAGATACAAGGGGACCCCTGTTTAGATTTTGTACAAAGGCTCTAGGGTTCTGTGACAGGTATGGTTGTCAAAGAAAGAAAACATAGCCATAGCAATATAGAAAATGTGTTTATTACAGATGTATCTTCCAGTCAACTAAAATTATAAATATATATTTATTTAAAATTATAGCTCACCCCAATTGGACTGTACCACATTCCAGCAGGAAAATATCCCGTCACTGCTGTTTTTCCCTGCTCCACAACTGGGGTGATCAGAAGAGCCTCTCCCCACATGAATTGGCGGTCAACTGTCCATGTGTTTTGGTCTTGAGGAAACCTGGAAGAGACGAGAGAAGTCAATGAACCGAGTCATTTGAAGAACAATAAATTGAAAAGGTACTCACTCCATAAATAGGGCTCGGACAACAGTTTCCCCAGAAGTATGAGCTTTATAAAACAAGGTGTACATAAAGGGAAGTAGCATATATCTTGCTAGTGTAGCTTTTCGTATTGCATCCACAGCATGTTTGCTGAAAGCATATGGTTCCTGGGACTACAATGGAGACACAAAGAGCATTGTTAAGTAGATGCATAAATAGGTCAGTTTTTATCTTACACATTAAGACATTACAATGTATGTGATCTGTGATACATCCCCTGCTGAAAAAAAATGTTTTTGCTGTGAAAGTATATTGAGCAAAGATGGCAGAAGATGGGAGCAGCTTTGGTGTACAATAAGCCAATTTAAAGTGTATCTCTAAACAAAACTGTTCAGTAGGGACGGAATAGATCACCTGTCAATTTGTCATTGATCTTCGTGTCCCTGCTGAGGAGCATCAGCCTGTTTTGTGTATCATGATGGCCATTGTCATGGTACACAAAGTTATAGGAAGTTCAAATTTTAACAGTTGTCACCAGACCAGCTATCCCCTTCTTACCTCCTTGTTCTGGTGACAACTGTCTATGAGACTATTTCTCTCACTTTGACTACAGTTCCACTAACTTTCTGTTGTGTCTCTGAAACAGGAAGAGAAGATAAAATTCCACAATAAACATTATGAGCAACAAAGCCTGATAGGGGGTTTAAATTTTCAAAGTCTATCCTTTTCTTACTGTTCTGGCTGGCACAACTTCATGTATGATGGATATGTATTTATTGCTACGGATTAGCCCAGGCTGTTTTATAGAACTGCAACAAATTGCAGCCATTTGGAACTGTATGATAAACTTTTTGGAGAAAGTGCTTTAATCCAGGGAGAAAAATACAAACAAAACTATGCCAAGGAAAATTAAGCTAAACTTTAAGTGAAGCTATGCTTTCTCCTTGCAGGACAAAGCAACAGGATTAGATAAATGCTGGCCTTCTCAGTCGACAATATACAGCAATCATACTCGCCTTCCTTTTGCACCCAATGTATAAGCTCCAAGTCAAGAGCTTACACAGGGCTAATGAATTTCTTCCCACCCCCATGTGATAGCACTGGGTGCCTGAGCAGCCAATAATAAAAGTGACAGCACTATCATAAGAGTCAGATGCTCCCCCATACTTGGAAGTATGGGGTATTTCTCTTTGAAATGTATAGTGGAGGAAAATATTAAATTAACCTGTTGCTTTGGTCTGCATGGGCAATGCACATAGTCACTGTAAAGTAAACATCAACCTCTGGAGGAGAACTCCAGCCAAAAATAACAACATGGAATTGAACGGCCCAATAGAATAAAATAACAAAACCAGCTTTTGCTGCAATATTCACCATCATTAACTCTGCAGGGCCTTTTCTATCACTAGATGTCCTCAGTCTACTGGCCAGAATCCTTTGGCCCTGCTTTCTCCGAGCCCAAGTCATCCTAGACCCGCCCAGCATGGAACTGGACAGTGAAAGGAGAAGCAGCACAATGATGAACTCATCTCTGTCGCTCTGCTCTTTCCTTCTATCAACATGCATCTGGTCAGCACATGAACTGACTGGCTTTTTGTGCTGCAACTTCCTCTCACACTCCAGCCCTGTATATCTCCACAGAATTGAGTTTTCATTTATTTTTTTCCACATATACTCTACCCTGATTTCTCCTTTGCTATGGTTAATATTTCAGATGCTGAAACCTGTGATATGAAAAAGCCAATCATTTGGTTTTACAAAGGCAAACCATATTCTGACCATATTCTTATAAAAGTAAGTGACGACCTTGTCTGTTCCTCACCTTTGCATCTTTAGTGTTGTGATTTCTCATGAATGGATAAAAAGCTCCAACTTGGCTCCAGCGTATACATAGCTCCTCTGAGGCATCCCCGACAAATCCACAGAGGTCTGCCCCCACAAGAGGAATCCCATACATATTACATAGTATTATAGCTGACGTAAAAAAGAAAAAAAAAAACCAAGGCTGATAGTAAGATTGCTAGTAAACTAAATGAACATCATGGATCCTACAGTAGAATCAAAGCTAGCTTTACCAGGTATTGTGTAGTAAAGTTGCTCCCAGGTGCTTTCAACATCCCCTGTCCAGTGTCCAGCGTAGCGCCCAAGAGTGGGGAAATTGGATCGAGAGATCACAAAAGGACGTTTGTTACGGATTTTCACCAATGCACTGATATAAAATAGAAATAAAAAAATTTCATTATAATGCTATTTATTATGAAGATATTTTATGATGATAATCATGGAGCAGAGACCTGTAATGACAAAAAATCCATAAAAAAAGACTGACCAGTACAAAGAAGGATTACTAACTTGATTTGTAATTAACATACAGTGGATATAAAAAGTGTACACACTCCTGTTAAAATGTCAGATTTCTGTGATATGAAAAAATGAGACAAATAATTTCCGAACTTTTTCCACCTTTAATGTGACCTATAAACTGTACAACTCAATTGAAAAACAAACTGATTATAGTTGACATATAATCCCATGAGGGGCCTTTATGTACAGTCAGATTGTTACTGTTGTACCCTTACTTATGGTGGTCACACTGGAATGTGCCTATATGTCTTCATTGACAGAAATATTGCACTTTTGTTTTGTTTTCCTCCCGTGCATTTCAGGGAGGTGTTTGTATTTTATTGAAAATAAAAATCGACTGAAAGAGAGAAACAAACTGAAATCTTTTTTTTTTTTTTTTTTGGGGGGGGGGGGGTAAACAAACTAAAATAATGTAGTTGCATAAGTGTGCACACCCTGGGGATTTAGATGTGTTCAGAATTAAGAAATCATATTCAAAATTATGTTAATGGCTATGGGGTAGAGTGTCAAGAGAGAAGCCTTTTCTTATTAAGCAAAACATCCATGTTCGGCTAATTTTTGAAAAAGCACATCTGAAGTCTCCTAAAAGCATGTGGGAAAATGTGTTATAGTCGGATGAAACCAAGGTTGAACTTTTTGGCAGAATTCCAGAAGATATGTTTGGAGCAAAAACAACACCAAAAGAACACCATACCCACAGTGAAGCATGGTGGTGGCAGCATCTTGCTTTGGGGCTAATTTTCTTCAGCTGGAACTGGGGCCTTAGTCAAGGTAGAGGGAATTATGAACAGTTCTAAATACCAGTCAATATTGACACAAAACCTTCTGGCTTCTGCTAGAAAGTGGAACATGAAGAGGAGCTTCATCTTTCAGCATGACAATGACCCAAAGCACACATCCAAATCAACAAAGGAATGGTTTCACCAGAAAAAGATTAAAGTTTTGGAATGGCCCAGCCAGAACCCAGACCTGAATCTGATTGAAAATCTGTGGGGTGATCTGAAGAGGGCTGTGCACAGGAAATGCCCTCGCAATCTGACAGATTTTGGAGTGTTTTTGCAAGGAAGAGTGGGCAAATATTGCCAAGTCAAGATTTGCCATACTGACAGACTCATATCCAAAAAGACTGAGTGCTGGAATAAAATCAAAAGGTGCTTCAACAAAGTATTAGTAGCCACTAGCCTACAGGGCACTTATACCCCCTTCCTGCCCAGGCCAGATTCCAGCTTTCAGCGCTGTTGCACTTTGAATGACAATTGCGTGATCATGCAACACTGTACCCATATGAAATTTTTCCCTTTCTGCGCTCCCGGAGCCGCACATGCATGGTTAGAATGGGAGGACGTCATATGACGTCCTCCCAGAACAAGAGAACCGCCTTGCGCCAGTCATTGTACTATATGGCGGGCGGAAGGCGGTTAAGGGTGTGCACACTTATGCAACCATATTATTTTAGTTTTTTATTTTTACTTCAATTTGTTGTTCAACTGAGTTGTACAGTTTACAGTTGTACAGTTTATAGGTTACATTAAAGGTGGAACAAGTTCTGAAAGGATTTAGCTTTGTCTCATTTTTTTTACATCACAGAAACCTGACATTTTAAAAAGGGATGTGTAGACTTTTCATATCCACTGTACATTGAAATTCTAAATAGAAAAAGGTTATTATCTTACTTTAGGGCTCTGGGACCCAACCTGTGGCCTGAAGGCTAGACCTTTTGGTATATTTTGGGCTTTGTTGATGTCCCCTATACCTTGTAAATTAATAAATGCCATAGTTTCCCCATGTAAGCTGGAAATGAATGTGAACATTTGCATACAAATCTCAATTGTACACGTTTTTATTATACATTTTCCTTTCTTTTCTTAAAGGATTATTAACCAAGTACAACCTTAAATTCTCAATTATTTTTATTAAAAAACAAACATGTATATACTATATATACACTATAACATACATATACTTTCCAGCTTTGTGCAATGGGTTTGCGTGCAGCAGCCCCAATCCTCCTCTTCTCATGTCCCATGCTGATGCTCCTGGCTCCTCCCCCTTGCAGAGTGCCCCCATAGCAAGCCAGTTGCCACATGCCACTCCATTGACACACAAAGTGCAGCTCGGCTATGCCCCCTCCTCCCTGACTGTCATTAATAGAAGTAGGAGCCAATAGCTCCGCTGCTGTCTCTGAGCCAATGAGGAAGGAGAGAGCCGAGAGACTTGCTGTTCTCATGCACATTGCAGGATCAAGATTGGGCTCAGGTAAGTATAAGGTGGGGCTGTGGAAGAACTGCACTTAGGTTTTTTTTTACCTTTTACCTTCATGCATAGAATGCCTTAAAAGTAAAAAACCTTCAGCCGTTAGAAACACTTTAATACCTCTTAGGCATGGTGGCTGCATTTGTATTCTTTTTTTCCAAGCGAAGAATGTTTTCAGCAAGTATAGAAAATACCTGTTGATCTTGCCAGAAATGTGTTCATTGTGACTTTATGAGCTGAACTGGAAGGATAAAACAATTTTTGTGAACTACTAATCTCCCCTTCCTCCGTGTAATGAAGATAACCAAAAGGCAGACATGTTTGAAGTGAAGCCTGTTGGTCAACCACGGCTTCCACCACACCCTCCATAGATACAGTGGAGAAGTGAGTGTAGCCTCCCAGTCACACAGGGACTAGGTGAAAATAGAATAAATAAAGCCTGAAATAAGAAAACTAATGCAGCCATCACATCCGAGGACTGGAATATTGAAATATGTTAAATATTTTAGGGTCTATGTTTGCTTTAATTTTTTTTATGTGTTTTGGATAGATTATAGAATAAATAAAACCTCTGATTTTTTTTTTTTTTTGCTGTCTGTGTCCGTCTGGGAATATTCCCAAGAATTCAAGCACTGCAAGCAGTGGACTGACTGTAGCTAGCAGTTATGCATTCCTAGAAAGGCTGTATTTGTATGCATACTGGCCAAGGTACAGCTCACATGTGATGCTGAGACTCTACAATTGAAAGAACTGAAATCTAACAAATGAACTGAAATCTGTTTAGGCTTTGTTCATTTATAACATTTACTTACTTATGAGTTGCTATTGCTTCAAACAGTCCATACATATTATGAAGATTGTAGTGTGATGAGATGTTCTGAAAGCTGGAGGCACAGATGGTGGTATCACGTAACACTTTCCCAACAACATCTGTTAGATAGATAGGAGCAAAAAACAAGCCAATAAAATTGTATAACAATATCACACAACATTTTTAAACATTACATTAAGGCTTCGTTCACATCTGTGCATTCTGGGAGCATGTAGAAAGACACGTTTAAGCATGTGTTCCTGAAACACTTGAAAACCGCATGTCGCACTTATGGTGCCTTTAAATCGTTAATGCAACACAAATGCGGGAAGCAGATGGGCGTTTTTCCTTGTGCAAAAACATGCGACAAATGAGGAAACGTGCAATAAAAAACACACTACCCACAGAGCTGCATAATGCTCCTTGAGATAGTTTGCTGCACTTGTCACACATAGGGCAACCCATTGAATTCAATTGGCTGTCCTATGCATGTTGCTCCTAAAAACACAGCAAAAATTGTACATTACCGCTATGCTAAGTGTAAATAGGGCCTTAAAGTGTTACTAAACCTAGGACCCTGCATTCACTATATCTGGTCTCCCACAGTACATGGGACATGGAAATTAATTTAGTAAATATAAAACTGGTAAAAACCTTTTATCATGAGAAGTTAGAGCAGTCTTGTGACTTCTATCAGTGTCCAGCCCAGCACTAGCTAAAGCTTGTAGGAGGAGTTTTCTTTCTGCTCTAGGAGGATGGAAATCCCCTGACCTCTGTCTGGGCAGTGCTGATTGGCCCTCTGCTGATCACATGCCTACATTTCAGTCTGTCTTATCAGAGGTGGTTGAAGAAATGATCAAATGGCCTTTTTACAGAATACAGAGGATTAACCCCTTAGGTTCCACAGTGAGTAACAAGCATGCTTTAGGGCATATACAGGCTGATTTTACTGATGTGGGTTTAGTAACACTATAATGTACACAGGATTATGGTTTCTAAAAAGCATGTAAAAGTTTTTAAACTATTTTTAACATGGTTGTAATCATTTATTTATGAGCTTGGTGCATTTGCTATACTCTCAATTAAGTAACTAAACAACATCTGCAATTTAAAGCTCAACTCCAGGCAATAATATAAAGGGCACAGTTGAAACACAGTACATATATGATAGCCGTTTTACCTGTCAAAGGATTTGTGTTTCTGTCCATCCAGTAGTGAGATTCACACCACCCTGCTAGACTTGGTGACCTGACTTTTTTCTTCTGCAGTTAAGCAATAAAGCTTGATCACCTTCCTGCTCTTAGCAATTCAATATTTTGCTTAATCTTTTCTAAGGATGAGCATAAAGTGATTGTAAGGGTCCCTGCACACTGGCCTAAAAAATGCCAGTGCTCATGGCAGAAAAGTACACTACTTTTGAGTGTTTTTTGTACTAGCATATTATTTCTTCAAGAAAACCGCTCTAAAAAACGCAAATGGGTTTATTTCATGCTTTTAAATGCTGAGCCTAAAATATGCCTCTAAAATGTGCATGGACACATAAGATAACATCATTTGCTTCTACAGGCAAAATGTTAAACTTGTCTAGGAGCAGGAGCTTTTTAAGCCAGTGTACATGGACCCTAAATGCACTTTTTTTTTATAAACTAAAATAACAAACATATTATACGGACCTGCTCTGTGCAATAATTTTGCACAGAGCAGCCCAGATTCTCTTCTTCTCAGGTCCTCCACTGGAAAGCCTAGCTCCCCCCCACCCACGAGTGTCCTATTGCAAGCTGCTTGCTATGGAGACACTCCTGAGCCCCGCTCTGCATGTCCATTGACACATAGAGCGCTATTCTGCCCTGCCCCTTGCTTCCTCCTCATTGGCTGTGATTGACAGCAGCAGAAGTAAATGGCTTCTGCTGCTGTCTCTGAGCCAATGAGGAGGGAAAGAGCCAAGAGAGCCACTTCTCTCGTACACATTGCTGGATTGAGATCGGGCTCAGGTGAGTATAAAGGGGAAGCTGGGGTAAAGTTGCATAACAGAAGGTTTTTTACTTTAATGCAGAGAATACATTAAGGTAAAAAACCTTCTGCCTTTAGAATCACTTTAAGGTTCTGTTTGGATACAAGTTCGGACTGGACTATTGCTATTATTCATGACAACTATCCGCTGTCAATGGTTGTTGAGGACACCGGTGGAGTCCTTAACAACCTTCGACATCACCGGCCTAATTTACTTACATGTGCTCCCTCTCCTCTGCTCTCCCTCAACATAGGGGGGAGTACTTTGCCAGGGGAGACCTCCTGGGCAAAGCACCTTGTAGCTATGTTGATGAAGAGGATGGCCTCTTTCCCACAACCCTGACCTGGTGGTTGTGGGGGTCTGCTGGTGGTGAGCTTATCACAATTTGGTAGAATCCTTCAACAATAAGAGGGCATCCAGATAGAGTACCAGCGCTTCATACAGAGCAGGGCCCTCGAACCCCTCGTGTATTGTTTTGTTACTGTATTATCTCATGTTCTGTCCCCCACTATAATGTACAGCTCTGAGCAAACCTTTCTGGCGCTATATAAATACTGTATAATAATAATAATACACGTGCTACCGCTACTCATTCACAAAAAAATATAAAGTGAAAACAAAGACAGCTTTTGATGTCATTTATTTTAGAAAAAAAGTCCCACGATGTAAATCCACTGTCAATCATATTTCCAGTGATTTATATCCATGTCAATTACAATGCCCGATGCCTGCCATTAACCTAATGGAGTTGGGATTTTGCAACCAAACTTTTATAAAGTCCGCCAAATCTGCCTCAAACAGAACTCAGGCCCAACTCTTCTTCTAGTAGAATATAGCATGCAGCACATCTGACCAGTTTCCAGTCCTATCCATCCCTCTTCCAATTAGAGTGCTACAGAAGATTGTAAGAGGCTGAACAAACACAAATTCATCTACTTAAAACCTGCATTGTAAGTACATTTTTGACAAAAATTCAGCCAAAATATTTTATTTTTAGTATTGGATACCATATAGGAAATACAAACCCATTTTTCTTCACAGAGTAGCAAGGACTAAATCTGACAGCTTTTTATTGCTGTTCATGTCCCTATGTGAGATATTTCTTCTCTTTCTAACAAAAGAATAGCATTTTCACTATAGCTGGCCATATAGGAGTAGAATTTTGAATGGAAATTCTTCAGAAAAAAAGTTCTTTTGTTTTTCTAATCATTAATGGGCTAAATTGAAGTTTGTGTTTGATAGCAGTAATGGGAAAATTTAAAGGAGCAGGATGGAAAATTTTTCTCAAGTGAACAAATATCGAAGAGTTTCTGTTTTTGTTCAGGAAAGTCCATTCATTAAAAAAAAATTAAAAAAGCAAATGTTAAAAGCAAGTGAAATCTTTTGAATGACAAGCAAATCTTATGGATTATCCTATGACTTTTCCTAAGAATTATTTTAACCACCTCCTGCCGGCCATTTAGTAATATGATGGACTCAAGGTGGTTCTCTTGTTCTGGGAGGATGTCATATGACGTCCTCCCATTATCACCGCGCATGCGTGGCTCAGGGAGCCTCGGACACAGCAGATCACCGATCACGGAAAGAGCCGAAGATGTCGGCTCGGTCATGTGATCAGCTGTGTCCAATCACAGCTGATCACATGTAAACAGGAAAATTCCGGTTATCGGCATTTCTCTCCTCACAAGCTGTCACGCTGACAGCTCGAGAGGAGAGGAAAGCCGGTAATCAGCTTTCTGCAGAGGGGACATGTACACTAATCATCAGGGCACTGATGATTAGTGTGCCCTGATGATCAGTGTAGCCCCAGCAGGGCCACCTGTCAGTGTCCATCAGTGCCTTGTGTCAGTGCTCATCAGTGCCTCGTGCCAGTGCCCATCGGTGCCCTATCAATGCCACATACCAGTGCACATCAATGCCACATATCAGTGCCCATCTGAGCTGCCTTTCAGTGTCACCCATCAGTGCCACCTATCAATGCCAATCAGTGCCACCTATCAATGCCAATCAGTGCCACCTATCAGTGCTGCCAATCAGTGCTGCCTAACAGTGCCAGTCAGTGCCAGTCAGTGCGCCTAACAGTGCTGCCTATCAGTGCCATGTATCAGTGCTGCCTTTCAGTGCCCATCAGTGATGTCTGTCAATGCCCATCAGTGCCACCTACCAGTGCCTCATGCCCAGTGCCCATCAGTGCCCATCAGTGCCCTATCACCACTGCAGCCTCATTAGCGCATATCCGTGAAGGAGAAAAATCACTTATTTACAAGATTTTATAACAAAAACTAAGAAAAAACGTTTTTTTTTTTTTTTTTTCAAAATTTTCAAAGGCTGTAAGAAGTAGTTTATGTATTGTGACAACCCATGGGTCACACTGCCCATAGAGGCCACAATAGGTCTACTGGGAGGATGGACTGGGTTCTTGTGTACTTTCAGTAAATAGTAAAAATAGGGCACCTGGTAAAATTCTTTAAGAAAGATCTCTTTCTAGTTAATGACTATTTTTTGGGCCTTTAAAATAGGAGTTTTTAGTTCACCTGCAAAGGTATTAGTGGGGTCTTTGTGTAATTTGGAATATGTATGTAGATCAGACAGTAGTCTCTGATATAATCTACTCTGTTAAGCTGTTAAATATAACTATACATCCTCCTTTATCAGCAGGTTTAATCACAATCCCTTGATTGTCTTTTAGAGAATGGAGAGCTGGTTAGATTGGAGTGACCTGCTGGTCTCTTGGAACACATTTGAACTAAAGTGTACACCATTGTGTAGAAGGTATCCATAAAGGCTCCCTTCATATGATTAGGGTAAAATATGGATTTGGGTTTGAAATGGGTGTGTTGAATCGGAAGTGTATGCTTTACAAATACTTCTGAATCTACACTCTCATTTTCCCATATAAGTTCTTCTAAGATTTTTAGAACCACCTCTGCAGAATGAAAATAAAGGTCTGTGGATTCTGGTGATGTCTTATTGCTCTGGTCCTGACAATTACTATCTTCTCTGATGGCATAAAACTTTCTCACAGTGAGATTCCAAAAAAAATGTATTCAAGAGATTCAGAGTGAATAGATTTGGAGCAGAAGTGGGGGCAAAATGTAAACCTTTGTGGTTGTCTTTAGAATTAGGGGGACTGATAGAAGCCAGTGTAATGGCTGTGGGGGCTGGAATATAATCTGTTCCCTCAATAAAAATTGTGGTTGTGGGTTCTTTTATGGGGGCAATCCAGATGTCTGTGGGCAAGAGGTTGTGTGAGGGTAAGCTGGAAAATCAGATTGAGTACCATAAGGAGTGGTGGGAAAATTATGAGAGGCGTGTGGTGTGTGCAAGGACGACACACCTCTGGAAGGTGAGCTGAAAAGATGGTGCTGGAGTCAGAACAAAGATGGCTAATAGGGTCTTCAAAGGAATGATATATTGAGTTGTGAATGGGAAGGACATCATTTTGTGTATGGGTAGAGACCAAGGTACCCACAGTAGTGGATAAATTATTCATATTATCCTGTATCAAGGAGAGAGGCTTATTGGATATAGGCGCTCTTTTTTGTGGAAAGGTTTATATTTCTTCATCAGGCCCAGGTTAAAATTGGGTTTTGGGTGAAAACTCATGAGGGAAGGTATTTGTGATGAATCAAGACATATGGGTTTGGATCTATGTTTTTTATTCTAAAAGAATGCACAACCTGATTTGTAATACTCTATTATGCCTTTTTAATTTGCCTAATTTTCCTTTAATCAGGGTTTCTCCATGATGATGTAATTTATTGCTTAGAATATTGACTCAATCAGGAAAAAAGGAAACTGTGCTGAAGGGTAAAATGTCAGACATAATACAATTAACTGTATCAGTATACTTGGTAAGTTTCCTGTTTCTTTGTTGGACTACAAGACCCAGCCATTTTAAAGTGCAGAAATCTGCTGAGAACTGCCAATCTAATATTAGATCAGGATCTACAAAAATCACAAATTTCAAGACCTCTTTTGCGCAGACCTCTAGATGTAATTTTTAGTAGAAGGTATTGTTTAAGAAAACAAATATCCCACCATTGAAAAAGTGTTGCCTTAACCTTATTTCCCAACATACAAAAAACTTTTTTCTGTGTGTGTTTGAGTGACAAAGAGTTTGATGGCAGAATGAGTGTTGGTGTTGGTCAGAGGATGAAGAATCTCTAGAGTTAAACAAATTCCAAAGTGTACATGTTAGGGAAAAAATGGAAAAAAGAAAAGGGGGATTGGGGAGAAGGAAAAAGACAACAGTTAAAAAACCTTAAGCCAGATGAAGAGATGGACTGGGCTATTTCTCTATGCAGCTGAGAGTGTCCAATACATAAAACCAAAGTAGGAAAACAAAAAACAAAACTCTGTAGCGCAAATGGAGAAAGAGTGATTAGGGCCCAAGTACGAAGCCGTAGTCTCTGCATGGTGGATCCAGGTGTGTTAATCCACTTCTATAATGGCTGCAGCTCTTCCAACAGGGTATTGGATTAGGAAGTTGGAAGAGCTGCAGCCATTATGGATTAACACACTTGGATCCACCATACAGAGACTACGGCTTCTTGCTTTGGACTTAATCACTCTTTCTCCATTTGCGCTATAGAGTTTTTCTATATTTTTTGTATTTCAGCAGCTGTAAACACCCTTGTAAATAGCATCAATAAACACACCACTGTTTGTCACTGTATCACTGGACTGGTCTCTGTGCCTGAAAGTGGGCTCACCCCAGAGAGCATTATACCTGCTTCCTATCCCCAGCTCACACAGTGTACAATTAACAGTTTTAGAGGCTCCCTATAACAAAGACAATCTTCATTTCCAGAGTTCAGATCTACTTACATGTACTGAACATCTATCAAACATGACATCACTGTCATGGTGACAGTCATATCTCTATCACACTTATGGGGAGGTGCAGTATGGTGCGGGTAGTTAATACACAAGGTCTTGAAAACGCCCTGTGGGTGGGGCGAAATGCATTGATGCACTTCTGGTCTGCCGTCTTCTTGGCCTATGTCACTTCCGGTATTTGGAACGCACGCCGACTTTTGCAGTTAAAGCAGCCATTTTTTGAGGTGGAAAGCTGGTCATCCTCTACAGTGATCCTTAAAGCGTGAGATCCCTATATTTACAATTTGGAAACTTGTTCCTTTGAAGCCTTTGAGGCTATTAAACAAGGCCTGTTATTTTATTGAAACATGTGAGTGTCCTTATTCTATTGATTTATATGGTATTGGAGTGGCAGTATTACACTATGTAGCCTTTCTTTCCTTGCACACTATTAAGGATTCCATGGAGAAGTAGAGTGGAGTCGATTGCTGTATCTAAGCAGGGTGAAGGCGATTTGAGTTCCTCCTGAGGGGCTATAGGATCCCTTATATCCTATGAAGCTTATTACTCACCTCCATCTGGTGAGTGCGGTCAATATTATTTTTCACGTGGTGATTAGGTGGAAGCACATTTTGGAACATTGTTTTGAAAATCCTTTTGAGAAAATAAGGACTTATGTTTGAAATATTATATATATATATTTTTGCACGGACATTTATTTATTTGTGATTATTTTTATGTATTTAATTTTTGCGCTGTTTTTTGTGTTAAATACACAAAGTCTAGCTGCAGCAAAATTTGGAACTTGTATTAAACAGATTGCCAACGTTACCGACACGCTTGCGGGAGAACCCCGCTAAGGTAATAACTCACACTTCAATGTAGTCAGAAGTATAGGAAAAGAGGTGCCGACAGCATCTGTTTCATAGGGTGAAGCACAGCCTGGCCAGTTCAGTCCAGTCCCAAGAGGGAAGCTTCTTATCCGAATCTCGAGTCCCTAATCTTTCTCTCCTTGCCAGGAACCTCTCTCTACCACTAGTTACTTTTCCTAACAAGCGGGGTCTCTGTCCCTACACTAGGCACACTCCAAAAGCACACCAAAATACTGAGGCAGGGACTTAAATAGACCCTGCTGACCAAAGATGGTCACCGAAGGTCTCAATGCAATGTACCCAACCAGAACACTGCTCCATTGACCTAGGAAACCATAAAGAAATGTTGTTTCTTTTGGACTTCCTCTCCAGGCTGAGGTGCCACTCGATATGAGCACCACCGGCAGTGAAGTAACAAACCGCACCTGCCTACACTCCCCCCTCTTTAAGAGATGTGGACCTTGGCATTGCAACAGAATATAATGTCAACAGCAGAGTAATAAAACAGGTGAGGGCAACACTAGTACACACAGTTAAACAACATAATCAGAGAATCTTGCAGGTAGTTGCCCACGATTAGGCCGCATGGGGCGGTGGGTGGCTGAGATCTCACTAGAGTCACTGGGCAAAGGTTCATTTTCAGGTAGTGACTCAGGGCTATAGGAGGCATGGGGATGAAAACAATTTCAAGCTATTCTTCACCTGGGCCCCAAGCAGGATTCCCCTCTGGACCAGCATTGTCCATGGCATCGGACAAAGTATCTGGCTCCGCTGACCTGCCCACAGCAGAGCCTTCAGGCTCAGGCCCACTGGGGACTGGATGTTCATGCTCAAATGGAGGCAAGAGGTGCCTCTTGTACCAGTGGGAGGTTGGAAGGGTTGAAATCTCTAGAGCCCTCAACAGACTTTTCAGAACACTTGCCACCCAGTACACAACACCTCAACATATTGCGATACAACCATTTCTTGACAAGGTCGGGCTCTTCATAGACCAGGTCATAAACAGGGGTAGGCAGGAATGGTTCCCCACCTCGTATGGGGTGTGTTCGCACTTAGGCTTCAGTTTACTACCCCTGGTGTGTTTTGGATTCTTAAGTAGCACCCAATTCCCCGGTCACAATGTTAATTCCTTGAGGGCTGATTCTGGAACTATGTCTTTGTATCTCTTCAACACCAAGTTGTTTAACCTTTATTTTTTTCCAGTTCTCCTGTACCCAGGTACTGGGGGTGCGAGGTGGGAGTCTTTCAGGGGTATCTGATAGGAGGTCTATGGGCATGCAACCATACCGCCCAAAAATTAGGGAAAAGGGCATGTGTCTGGTGGATCAGTGGACTGTGCCTGGTGGATCAGTGGACTGTGGTGTTATAGGCCCACACCATGGCCCCCACATGCTAATTGGTAACTCAGTTCCAGAGTTCTTAGCATGCCCAGCAGCATATGGTTGAACCGCTCGCAGGCCTTGCTACCCTGAAGATGATAGGGTGGTGTGCGGATACCACTCAGGCGGCACAGTTTGGTCATGATCACTGACTTCAAGTTTAGGCCCTGGTCTGAAAGGATCCATTTAGGACATCCATATGGCTGGAAAATGTGTTCCCAAAAGAGTCTGCTGGTGGAAGCTGTTTGGTCCTTTTTAGGCACCACCACTGAAAATTTAGTGAAGTGATCAACAAATACTAGGGTGTATTGGTAGCCCATGGGCATTCTGGAGATCGTAAGGAGGTCCATGGTTACCAACTCAAAAGGCTCAGAGGTGATTATAGTCATGGTGCAACTATAGCAATCTTGGCAGGCTCTATACACCCAGTGGGACAGGTGGGGGCAGAAGAATTATCTCCCTACTAGAGCCTTTGTCTGGTTCACCCCCAAAATGTCCACCTGCAGCATGAAGCAGTTGCCAGCGGATCCCATGGTCTTAGGATGGCTTGTGGCACAGGGGATAATCTCTGATATTCCTTTATGGAAGTACTCTGCAAACTTCTCAGTAACGGCCCAGACCAGGGCAAGAAGTTCCAGCTTGAAAGAACTGTAGTTATGAGGATTCTTCTCAGTAGGCCAATAGCATAGACCAGGGGTGTCAAAGTGGTGGCCCTCCAGCTGTTGCGAAACTACAAGTCCCATCATGCCTCTGCATTTTGGAGTCATGCTTGTAACTGTCAATCTTGCAATGCCTCATGGGACTTGAAGTTTGGCAACAGCTGGAGGGTTGCCAGTTTGACACCTGTGGCATAGACTATCACTCACTCCTGGTCATCCTGTATTTGGGCTAGGATGGCCCCCAGGCCCTGCAGACTCCTATTTGTGTAGACCTGAAAAGCCTTGGTATGGTCTGCATAGGGTAGCAGTGGGGCTGAAGACAGTTTTTGTTTTAAGGTTTTGGAGACTGTTGCTGCACATCCTGCCAGAGGACTTGTATGGAAAGCAAGGGCCCACTCTTGTTTTGGGTGCTGTGCCCACTAAGCAACTGGGTTAGCAGGGCAGCTACCTGAGTGAATTTGGGTATGAATCTGGTAGCCAGTAGTACCCAACCAGCCCTAGGAAAGAGCGCAGCTCCGTAACAGTCCTTGAAGGGTTCCAATCTTGGACAGCTTGTACCATAGGGACACGCCCCTGGCTTCAACCACATGTCCTAGATATTGTATTTTCTGTTTCACCATGTGGCACTTGCTGGGTTTTAGTTTCAGTCCGTACTACGCCAGTCTTGAGAACACAAATTCCAGATGTTTGACATGGTCCTCAAATGTCTTGGAGAAGATGATATCATCGAGATAGATCAGTACATTCTCGATAGATCAGTACATTCTCGATATTGAAATCTACCAAACATCTTTCTATCAGGTGTTGAAAAGTGCTGGTGGCATTGCTGAGGCCAAAGGGGATTTGGCTGAACTGAAATAATCCCAAGGGCACGATGAAGGCAGTTTTCTCTCAGTCCTGGTCCCGAACCATGTTCTGCCAGTAGCCACTTGCCAGGTCTAGGGTGGAGGAACTTTGCTTGTCCCAGTGCTATCAGGGACTCCTCTATTCAAGGCAGAGGGTAGGCATCCTTATGGGTGCAGGCGTTCAGTTTATGATAGTCCAAACACAACCACAACCCACCATATTTTTTGTCCACTAGGACAAGGAACGGGGTGGCCCAAGGACTGCGACCATCTCAGATCACTCTTCCCTGCAACATGCTACACAGAAAATCCTTGACCTCTTGACGTAGAGTTGGAAGGATGTGGTGGTACTGCTCTCGGATGGGCGGTGTATCTCCAGTGTGAATTGGGTGGTCCATGGCCTTGGCGAACCCATAATCTTCTGGAGTAGTGGTGTACACTTGGAGATGTTTCTCTAGTAGTTGGTGGAGTAGAGTCTGATGGGTTAGAGAAAATCTTTGAATGGGATGTCCAGTTGTTCTAGCAGTGACTTGGGCTTCATCACTTGATGCCATAGTTATCTGTAGGTGAGCACACATGGCCTCAACACCCGGTTGGGCCTCAGAAATACAGTGGTGTGGGACTGCGCATAAGTTAGCAAGCATGGCGTGCCTGCGTAGCGTGACGGGCATGTCACCCAAGCTGCACTGTCCCCTGTGGGCCTTAGATAAGGTCTGACCCACCAGCCATTTCCCCATAAGTACCTTTTGTTGGGCCTCACAGGCCTGGAGCACTCTAAGCCACAATGCTCACCTGGTCAGTCCAGTCCCAAGAGGGAAGCTCCTCTTCAGGATAGTGAGCCCCTAATCTTTCCCTCCTCTCCAGGAACCTTTGTGTACCGCTAGTTATTTTCCTTAACAAGCAGGGTCTCTCTCCCTACACTAGCAAAACCCGGCGGCAGGGACTTAAATAGCCTCTGCGGACCCAAGATAACTACCAAGGGCCACATGGGTGCAGTGTAGCCAACCAGAACACTAGTCTATTGTCCCTGGATACCATCGAGAAACATTGATTCTCTTGGATTTCTTCTCCAGGCACCACCAGCAGTGGAGAAAACAAACAGCACTTGCCTACACATTGCAGGTGGAAAAAAAGTTAATTATTCATCTCCTTCGACATTCTTTGAAACCTCCCTTTGGATACATGATGCAATCTACACCTTGAAGATGATGATAGGTTTTATAAGTGTGGGGTATAGAGTGATTTCAGTGCTCAGCAGTATAAAACAAAAAGTGTGGGTATGTCCTACAAACACATGGACGGATGTCATTCCTGAGGCTCAGATTAAATTAGGCAACTAGAAACAAAGGCAACATATGGTCTATGAATAACTTACCAGGCACATATGGAGGGTTTTCAAGACTGTTGTCTGGACAGCCATCCAAGGAACCGTGAACATTATTAGCTGGCTCATTCATGTCCTGTGTCAAAAGGTGGAGGCATTAGGCAAGGGAGGACCCAAATTGTTTAGTAACACCATTCACAGAAACACCACAATTGCATTAATACAAGGTTCATTTCATTAATTCAGGAACACAACAATGCTGTTATGCAAACTATAGTAACCCATAGCACTCCATGGCACCTGTAAGCCCTCTTGCTTACCTTGGCACCAATATGTTCAAGTAAGACATGAAATCCTTTCATTACACATAGAGAGAAGTTGAAGGGGGCTAGAAACTAGGCACTGAAAAATAAACCACACCTTGATTTTATTTGTCAGGTGACTCTTCCTGCTTATGTAGGAAATGAGAGTTTGATTAAGAGATGTTTTGATTATAGATAGTGAGGGTGAAATGTCCTTCTTCCTGCCTCCTCCATCCTATGAAATATCACATGACTAGAGACAAAAAGAAAACTGCCTTTATTCCTGGGTGGGTGCCAGTATAGAGAAGGAGGTACCCATTTTCCCCTCTTAGAACCCCTTACCCCCCCACCTTCCCCTGGAGCTCACCAAAGCCCTGCCTCCTTCAGTGTATCCCAAAATCATTCAACTCCCTCACGCCTTGAGAGCATCCCTAGAGCTCTTCAGCTCCCTGTCACTTTCAAAGCCTCTGACAGAGATTCCAAAGCAGTTTTCCTCCCACTTTCACAATCGATGTTGGGGCATTGTTTTCTTCTATTCAGAGGCACAACTAGAACCTTTACGGCCCTGGTGCAAGAAACCATGAAGGGCCCCCCTGCCCCCCCCTTCTTTCCGAGCCTGTTGCCTTTTACTTCCATTGTGGGGCCCTTTATTGTAGTGCCGCAGGGGGACCCTTTCAAATGTTCTGCAGTGGGCCCCCTTCCTGCCATCTTGGGTAGGGATGCCATCTTTTCTTCAAGCCAAGCCCGAAAACTTTAGTGGAATATGACAAATACATAGACATATTTTTTTCATTAAACATTTCTAATCATATGGATTTATTCACAAGAGTCCCCCATTATATCAGAGTCCACAGACTTCCCCCTTTACATATGAACCCACAGAGTTCCCCTTTACATATGAAATCCCAGGATTTCCCCCTACATCTGAATCCACAGAGCCCGCTTATATCAAAGTCCACAGACTTTACACTTAGGAGGGGGGGGGGGGGGGGTAGGGATCTGATGTAAGAGGGAATGCTGTGGACTCTGATGTAAAGAGGAACTCTGATGCTAAGGGGGTTTCTGATCACCAAAGCGCCCCTTACATCAGAGTTCACAAAGCACCTCTTCTAACTGCGTGCCCCTTACATTAGTGTGATCACTGGAAGGTAGAAGAAAAAGGGAGGGAGGGGAGTGAACTCACTACCCAGGATGTGGTATCGACAATCTGCAACTTTCATCTCCACTATGCATCTGCTGGCCTGGCTGCTGGGATTCAAACTTCCCACCTACCCACACACCCCCTTTTTTGTGGCATAGCATTTCCAGGGATTGGAGAGTGGGGGAGACACAGGAGGAGGATGAGCATATCAGCTCTCCCTCTCCTTTCCATGCAAGGGAGGGGAGTGGGGGGGAAATGGTCAGTGCTGGCTCTGGGCAGTGTGACAGAGACCTGCTCAGCGCAGAGCCCCGCAGCGAGCATCCACGCTTTGGAGCCACAGTCTAGGGCCCACCCTCAGTGGTAGAATGCCAGGGCCCGGTTGCAAGTCACCCTTTGAGACCCTGGTAGTTCTGCCACTGCTTCCATTAAACACAACCAAAACTAGGACATTTTTTCCTCCATACCAACTCCTGGTAGGCCTCCGATTGGTGGGTTGGGTTTGGCTTTGACAAAAAAGGGAGGCAGTGTTCTGAAAGGGCCCTTTCAGCTCTTACCCCCAGCTCTTACTGTTCCAAAGAGAAATGGTGCTTTGTTAGGCCTCCCTCCTCAAGATGAGGCTTGGTGTAGGAACAGTTCTACCTGTAAGCAGGCTGTTTGAGGTGTGGGTTTGAGGTCCCAGAGCTAAAATCTGAGCCTGGAGGGTATAACCTCTGCTTGTGAGCAAGATGTATGCCATGTTAAAAAGGTCCCAGGGCTAAAGTCTGGGTCTGAAGAGTATGAAACCATGTGTACCTAAGAGATTTTCAGCTAAAGTAATTAATTCAAGGTGAAGCATTAAAACCTTGTATTGCAGCTGCTTTGCTCCAGAATAAAGTTGTTTAATGCAACTGAATGCTGAAACCCACCCAACTACTCCTATCGAAGGGAGCTGTAGGAACCCCATGTGAGCTTTCAGTACTCCACTGCATTTGTCCTTCTGCCCTACCATATACTAATTTTGAATAAAGCATTGAAAACCTCCTTCAAGTGTAGACCTCCTTTCCTTTAAGGGTAAGTAAGTGTGATCTATCCTGGGGAATAGGAGTGTTAGGGGAGTTCAACTTGTATCCATAAGAGCCCTTTCGGTGCATTGTAGACAGGACAGTGCTGCAAAACTCCCACTACACATATAATTATTAAAATGGTAAAATATTTCACATTACCACCCCAAATAAAGTCTCTTAGCATAAAAATCCCAGCTCAACTTCTTTGGAAAACAGATTATAAAAAAGAGCAGTGGAATCATGACATTAGGAGTCATGACCCACTTTGAGGTCATTCACTAAAACTGGAGAATGCAAAATCTGGTGTAGCTCTGCATAGAAACCAATCAGCTTCTAGGTTTTTGTCAAAGCTTAATTGAACAAGCTGAAGTTAGAATCTGATTGGCTACCATGAACAACTGCACCAGATTTTGCACTCTCCAGTTTTGGTAAATCAACCCCTTTATATCTTGCATGGCTGTGGAAATACAAGACAGATGGCAAGTTAAAAGAAATATACAGTACTTCTTGAGTGACGAAACAATGACCACCAATCTACCCAAAACATATATAAATTATTTGTGCTTTTTCAGAATTATCTAATATTAAATGTCATACTTATTGTGAGCACCTTCTATATATTACTTACAATCCAAGCCCCATCAAAAGGCACTTTTTCATGAAAGGCCTTGAACATGTCATGCCACCATTTATGAGCTTCCGGATTTGTGAAATCAACAAACACAGTATAGCCAGGCCAGACCTGCAGAAAAGTTTAAGAAAATGAATTTGTTTAACTGGAAATCACAGGTCAGACATTATACCAGTGTTCTGTACATTTCCTGGCTGTTATTCGATAACACTTATTTTGGAATAATTTCATTATCCCTTAGTGAATGGAGGGGACCCTTGCTCTACCTCAGAAGAAGTGCGTGCGCACCAAACGCGTCAGAAGGAACCTGTGGACGTCGTTGACACTACGCCGCCGGTGCCATGTGAAGGCCCGGCGGCCACCTATAATTTTAAGAGGGTCAGTGGGTCACTTTCACTTGCCACCTGATTATATGTTTTACTTGGTTTTTTTAAATAAATTGAAGTAATATACTACACTATGAGTATCTCTCTGTGTTCTCTGTGAGGGGTCTTTCTCCCAACTTCACAGCCACAGAGTGATTTCAATCCCAGCCCTGGTTCCATTGAAGAGGAATATCCTATCCTGGGAGCTTCCTGACCTGCAGGATTTCGTTTTTTTGCACAAGAGGGCGTCATCGTCATCCATTTCAGCACATATCCATTTTCTGACCAGAGGGAGAGAGGGGAATCTCCAGGATTTCTTACACACATGCGTATTTTAAATGCGCTTCTGGTTAGTTTGCATTCTTTCCATTGGCACTGGGAATTATTGAGCACCTTTTCAGGACTATTATTGTGTTGATTTGCATGATTTGATCATTTTACAGCGCTGCATTTTTATATATATATGTTTTACTGAGGATTTTTACATGCGTTTATCCTGGATGTTCAGCTGCTGTTTTCTTTTAGAGCGCTCACTGTGTGTCCTTTACCTATACATGTCCTGTATTATGGCTGCAGTTTTTGACCATCTCCTGTAGTATGGTTGCAGTTTCTCACCATCTCCTGTAGTATGGCTACAGTTTCTGATCATCTCCTGTAGTATGGCTGCAGTTTCTGACCATCTCCCATAGTAGTTCTGCAGTCTCTGACCATCTCCCATAGTAGGTCTGCAGTCTCTGACCATCTCCCATAGTAGGTCTGCAGTCTCTGACCATCTCCCGTAGTAGGTCTGCAGTCTCTGACCTCAGTACCACTTCTCCTGTCCTGTATGCTGGGTAGAATTCTAGGTATCTGTTCTTATTCTGTATGTATGGACTGTTCTCAGTACCACTTCTGCCAGGGCTCATGCACACACAAAATGCAGCTTTTATCAGCTGTGTCCAGGCTTGGATATCTGTCCCTAACTGCAGGTAACTGCTTTGTGTGTGACTACATGCGGACAGTGGCAACCGCTGTCAGCCTGTCATTTGTTTAAATGGGCTAAGCAACTGCTGCTATTCGCATGCCCAATCATTCCAGCCGCACAAAGTCGCTGGTTCTAGCCATTGGAATTCAGTGGCTGCATGTAAACAGCTGTGTGGAGGAGGCTTTAGTTTGAATGGCCTACCCCAGTGTAGTGGCCTTTGAAATACTCAGATATGGTTGCACAGTAAGGATGGCTTGGATATGAACATGGCATGGCTGTGTTCACACATACAGTATTGCAGTGACTTGCGTTTTACTGCATTGAATGAACACAGGTCACTGCTAGGACACACAGAAAACAATTGTGTTCTGTGTGTGTCCTGTTCACACTGCAACACAGCTTGGAGGTACAGTGCAGTGAGCTGTGCTGCATTTTATCGTAGTGCACAGGAAGGTGCCACATGTCACCACACAGCAGCGCAAAGCAACCATGTTGCTGTGCTGTGACATGAATGAAGAATGACTTTGTCATATTTGATTTAAATTTTTTTTACCTGGTACCTGCTACTGAACCCCCCCCCCCCCCGAGCAAAAAATTATCTACGGCCCTGGTTGCTAGTGTGCTTAGCAGGGGTGTACTGCCTGAGGGCCCAGGGCAAGTAGGGGGGTCCCATTAGAGGCTCCTAGTACCTTTTGCAGGTATCACTAAATGGTCAGGATACAGACCATGGTCTGCCAACTCACTGTCCTATCCTGACCACGGTGGTCATGCCATTTAGAAACTTGTGCCCTGCATCCATCCCCGCTGTCATCCGTGTAACCCACAGTAGGAGGAAGGACAGCACTGGATGGGGAGTTTGCTTTCCGAGTTAACAGTCAGGTGATTAGTTGCTAGAGGTCCTAGCAACCAATTACCAGCTTTGAGCTCCTGCTTTCTGTCCAGATCTGCTGTGCCTCCTGCTCTCACCCCTGTCTGTGTAAGGTAGGACAGGAGGGGGGGTGCAATGTGCAGTAAGGCTGCTTAAGACATTGAGAGGCTGAGAACTGTAATGGGTGGCTGAGGACAATTGTGGGGGAGCTGAGGATAATTATGGGAGCCTGAGGACAGTAATGGAAAAGCTGAGGACAATTATGGGGGGCCAGGGACAGTTAGGGAGGAGAAAAGGACAGTAATGGGGGCTGGGGGGCAATTATAGGGAGGTCAAGAGAGTTATAGGGGGCTGAGGATAGTAATGGGGGACTGAGGACAATAATGGGGGTGCTGAGAACAGTAATGTGGGTGCTGAGAACAATTATGGAGGCTGAGGTCAGTAAGGGGGAGCTGAAGACAGTAATAGGGGGGCTGAGGACAGGTAGTGGGGGTGAGCTGAGGACAGTAGTGGGGGAGCAGAGGACAGTAAGGGTGGAGCTGAGGACAGTAATGGGGGGATGAAGACAATTATGGGGGATTAAGGACAGTAATGGGGGGCCGAGGACAACTATGAGGGCTCACGACAGTAAGGGGGAAGCTACGAACAGTAATGGGGGGGGGCTGAAGAAATGTATGGGGAGCTGAGGACAGTAATGGGAGCTGGCTGTGGACAGTTATGGGAGCTAAAGACACCGATGGGGGGCTCAGGACAGTTATAGGGGTCTGAGGACAATTATGAGGGAGGGCTGAGGACAGTAATGGGGTGGCTGAGGACATTAATGGGATGGTTGAGGACAACTAAAGGGGGGCTGAGGACAGTAATGTGAAGAGGGGATTTTGATGTGAAGGGGAGGGAACTGTACAGAGAGGAACTGTGATATGAGGCTCAGTTCAGATCTGTGCATGAACATTTTAATTTTGAAGAGCTGCCCTACCACGAGAAAGGCAGGGAAAGAAGTCCTTGATCCTTTTTTCTAAATCATGCTGTGCCAAGCTGCATGATGCTTTGACACTATGTGGATTGGTGTGTGTGAAAATGTGCCATAGGTGGCTATGTGTGGGGTGCCTTTAAGAATTAATGTCACCCCACACATCTGCTAAAGTGCAACACGTTTCTCTTTGGTTTGGGAACACAGTCAATTTTGCGCACGTTCTCCAACCGCAGAGATGTGAACCTAGCCTAAAAGGGAGAGGGGGGTTGTTGTGTGAAGGATCCGAGTCATCGCGCAAACATGTGATCTGGACCTCTGCTGGAAGAATATTTTACTGACTGAAATTTAATTCAGTGCAATATATAGGCGGGGCTTTGTGTGGGTGTGGGCTTGAGTGTGGGTGGGGCCACATGATTTTGTCAGTCTGTCACTTGTGCTTAGGTTAACTATCAACCAAATTATCAAATGGCTGGTGTCATAACTGATCACATGTGCAGCACCATGGCAACTGCAGATCAAACAGAGACTAAGGTGGCAGCTTCCTTGACTGTAAAGGATAGGAGGGCTAAGTTCTGCTTTAACTTAGCAAAACTACCAAAATCTTAGTTCATGTGGAAAAATAGTATATCAAAAGGTATAGCATTTATATTGCAAATTTAGTAAGTGTGCTATACTCATTACAATATTAATTTCTAAAACAAAAGTGCAGTTGTCCTTTAAGGTTCTGTGGTACTTTAAAAAATGTTTTGACCATTCTCACCCAAGTATCTTCTCTCTTCCTGCTTTCTGCTCATCCAGATTATTGACTAGAATATTTAATTTCTTTTGTTTGGGCCAGCTCAGGAAAGAGAATCTTCATTTAAATAGAATGGCAGTTAGTAATTCTGTTTGAGTTTCAACAAAGAGAACAACATTAACCCTTAGCTAGTAGTCGATTTTCCTTCACTTACTGTCCCAAAACACAAGAGTAATGAAGAAGAGATCTTTCCAAAGCAAGGGAAATCCTCTTGCTTGTCATTAGAATAACTGAGAGACTTGCCTTCAAATTCTGATCTGGTGTCAACTCAAAACTTTGAATTTTGTTTTACCCTTGGTCTTAGTGAAAATGGTCATCAGGACAAATAGAGAGAGTGAAGCTCTAGCGTGGATACAGACAAAGATTTCAACTCTTACCTACTTTATCCAAAATGGCTTTGGATGCACTTTATTATAGGGAAAAATGACAACCTCATAATTACTTTTAGAGATTGGTGACTAAATCTATAGATGTTTTGAGTTGTCAGGTGATTGCATCTGCTGACTTCCATCAAAATGGAAATATCAGTTTTGGGAAACCTACTTTGGTGGCTATGCAACCGTCAGAATAGTTAACTAAAAATGTTTACACATTTACAATCAACATATGGGGCAAACAACAAGAAAAGAAATGTAGACGGTACTTTACCTTGCCCACAAGAGGCTGTCCAGTTTCATTGGTAACATAAATGCCTTTCTGTAATCCCTCTTCATAAGGTGGATAGCTTCCAGGAGGACTGCTATTGCCAATGGCTGGTTCCTGAAGAAAAAGTAAAAAAAAGAAAAGAAAAACAAAATACTGTAGTCATTGTTTAACAGATGTTATATCAGCCTAGTATATGCTTCTATTCTTACCATTATCAACACATATTTCATGTCCTTCTTATGAAACTCTTTTACCATCTCTGGGAAATCCCCAAAACGTTCATGGTCATATGTGAAGTCTCGGTATGCATCCATGTAGTCAATATCATTCCACTGCACCTCCTGCAAAGTGTAATACCATGATGAAAATTAAAGCAAGGAACCCAGAAAGCGATTTGTATTTGGCTTTAAAACGAAAGGAACTCCGTACAAGAAAGAAAAAAAAGAAATCAATGATGTACTAAAGGTATTCAGAAAAACTCACACAGGTGCTAGGCAGTCCTACTGTAATTTACTTTATGTTTCAATATTTTTATTACATTTTTCAGAGAAAAACAAGGGAGTGAAATATGGTTCATTCATACAATATTACATTAGACGTTACATAGTTGAGTATTTTTGTTGTTGTTCCACCCAATGGTAGGTGGAGGTGTAGATCTTGTTTAGCAATATCATCAGAGGTATTCATATATGTATGAGGAACCTTGGTGGGGAGTTGGGTTGTTAGGGGGGTTTTGGTGGGGGGGTGGAGAAGGAAAGTATTGAGGGAGGAGGGATATAACTGGATAATTGAGGAGATACCAGTCTTGGTTTGGACGGTAATTAGACTAGTAAAATGTCATCAGGATTGTACAGAACATTTTGGTTGGTTTAGCCATCGGGTCCATTGGTTATTAAATTTGTAATAGGAAGAAGTATTAATTGCGGATAATTTTTCCATTTCACATTGGGTGTTAAGGTCTGTAATTAATGAAGTGATTGAGGGGGTTTTATTTGTGTTCCATCTGGTAATGTTAACTTTGGCGGCAAAGAGTATGTGGGTAATAATTGTTCGGGCTATAATTTACTTTAATTTAGAGCATATCTATGCTCCAAATATAAAATCATATATTCATGACTAGTGATGAGCCGAATACCCCCTGTTTGGTTCGCAAATGAACATTCGAACCTAACAAAAGTTCGACCGCGAACTTCGAACCAGGACATTTTACTAAGCGGTATCTTACCGCATCCAAGTATGCAGTAAGATACCATACAGCATTTTTCCCCTAAAAAACCTACTAAAATTCCGTTATTTTTTATTAGGTCATGCAGTATTTTAGCAGTGAAAACATGCGGGTTCCCCACTGACAGCTGAATGCAAAAAAATTGCCAGAAATTAAACATTTAAAAAAAAAATGGCTTGAGGGTCCCCCCCAAAATCTATACGAGACCCTTATCTGAGCATGCAGCCCGGCAGTTCAGGAAAGGGGGGGACATTTAACCAAACATCAGACATTGATTGGGAAAAAAAAATCTAAATTTTCCAGTTTCCAAAATGGCTGGCGCAGTAGCGTGTGCATGGCTCCACCCAAAGGGTGGAGGATTGTTTTTGGCAGTCAATGCCTAGTGATATTTGCTTACATGTGAGTGCAACCATACTTTAAATAAATGTTTTGATTATGATTTTACACTATGTGGAGCGTTCTTTCTTTGCATGTTTTCCACTACGAGTCCAAGCCTTATCCTGAATGGTTTAGCTACAACAATTAAAGCCCATTGTTTGGAAGCTCCATATCTGCTGTTTTGGTGATCTGGGAGGAGGATTCGAGTGACCGGCTTTCTGGATTGCTTAACAAAGCGCACTTGACCACTCTTAATAGGGGGTCATGCCTTTCTAGTAAGCCTTCTGTAGTAGTGGTTGGTGACAACTGTCCTTGGATTTCTTTTGTTTCATCACAGCCTCTGTGACTTTTGTTGTCTTTTATTTTTGGATGGACTATATATTTGTTTTGACAAATTTTTCACTGTTTTCTTATTATTTGTAATTTTTTAAGAGCTGCGCTTTTATGTATTTATTGTTGATTGCCTAGTATCAGGGATTTTGTGTTCAGCTGCTATATGTTTTACACTCATTACTGATGATCTATTGTGGTTCTTATTAGTGCAGGTAAGAGTTTAGGGATGGGGTGGGCAGAACATTAAGTGGGGCATTTTTTTACCTTAATGCAGGGAATGCTTTAAGGTAAAAAAAACACAAAAAAACACTGACTTTTAGCCTTTTATACAGGGAACTACATGATTTATTTGGATTAAATTCTGAAAAACAGAGCACCAACCGACTCCTGATTGGATTGTAGTAGTGGGGGGCAGCATGCTAGCTGTTACTTTTTGCCTGTGGCATTAGGCTGGTTTTGTGTTTATTTAAAGTAAAAAAAAAAAAACATGCTTTACTCTAAAGGCACTAATTACTGATATAGAAGTGCTTGCAAATAGTACCGATCCAGGTGAAAACTCAATTTTCCCGATTTGATTTACTCATCTCCATCCTGCATAAGAGCTAAATATAAAAATAATAAAAAAAAATAAGGTTTTCTTACTAGAGGTATTCCTGCAGCCCTTGTTTTTTCTACTGCTTCCCGAGTCATAGCAGAAGAATTATACCCCCAACGGCATAAGTGGAAGCCAAATGCCCAGTATGGTGGCAAGAATGGAAACCCTTAAGGAAAAAAAGGAAAAGTAATCATTAACATTATATATTATCAAAACATTATAAAGAGTAACGTTGTGAATATTTAGGTATTTTCTCAAATCTAGAAGTTAACCACTTGCCCTACAGAGGATTTACCCCCCTTCCTGACCAGGCCATTTTGTGCAATACGGCGCTGCGTTACTTTAACTGATAATTGCCAGGTCATGCAACACTGTACATAAATTTCATTTATGTCACATTTTCCCCCACAAATAGAGCTTTCTTTTGGTGGTATTTGATCACCTCTGTGTTTTACATTTTTTGCGCTATAAACCAAAAAAAGACCAACAATTTTTAGAAAAAAAAAAACAATATTTTTGACTTTTTGCTATAAATCATATCCAATAAAAAAAATAAAATTTCTTCATAAATTTAGGCCAAAATGTAAAAAAAATCTCCCCCCCCCTCCCCAAAGGTCAGCAGTCATCTCCTGTACTGTCTGCAGTCTCTGGTCATCTCCTGTACTGTCCGCAGTCTCTGGTCATCTCCTGTGCTGTCCGCAGTCTCTGGTCATCTCTTGTACTATGTCCGCAGTTTCTGGTCATCTCCTGTACTATGTCCGCAGTCTCTGGTCATCTCCTGTACTATGTCCGCAGTCTCTGGTCATCTCCTGTACTATGTCTGCAGTCCATTGGTTTAGAATATTTTTTTTCCTGTTTTCTGCCTCTAAAACCTAGGTGTGTCTTATGGTCAGGTACGTCTTATGGAGCGAAAAATACAGTATATCATTATGCCTTTCAGGGAAATTTACAGATGAGACTATGAATAAACCTTTTCCCTGTAGTGCCCAGTTCTGGAACTCCTACATCACTTCCTGTTAGCAGAGTGGCTTCAGTTCTTTTAACAGAAGAGGATCTTGGTACCTGTAGTCCTAAAGCCATTACATATTTTAAACCTAAGTGGTAATCAGGGTTGCCAACCCCCCCGAAATGTAAACCACTGACAGAAGACTCAAAATTTGCAAACAGCACCAATTTTTTACTGACACTTCAAAAAATTACATCAAATGGCATTTTTAAGTGCAAGCAAGCAAGTGTGTGGCCTCTGACACTATCAACTGAACTTAATGCAAACACAAAATGCCCAAAATAATCTCAGTAGTGGCCATAGTGTAGTAGTACACATTCATTCACAATATAACATATATCATGTCATGTGGCCTGTGCCAACCCAGCAGGCTAGCGGCATGGACTTTTTGAGCTATCAAACCGAACTTAGTGCACACACAAAATGCCCAAAATAATCTCGGTGGTGGCAGTATACACACATTCACAATCACAGACATGTGGCTGTGGCCTGTGGTCATAGGCAGGCCTGTAGCATGGCCTTTTTGTGCTCTCACACTAAACTAAGTGAACAAAAAAAATGCCCAAAATAATCCCCTTGGCAGAGTAGTACTAGCAAACAGTGATTTCCATGGTCTGTGCGAGCAGAATAGGCTTGGGCATAGGCAGGCAGGGAAGTAGTACGGTGGCGTTTTTGTGTTCTCAAAGTCAAACTGAACTTTCATGTGCACACAAAAATGCCCAAAATACTGGTGGCAAAGTAGTAGTACTAGACTAGCAAATATACCAATTCTTTCGTTGGCCTGAGCAAGCAGAGTTCCACAGGCAAACGTGCTGGTGGAGGAAAACGAAGTTGCATGCTGATCCTACTTTTCCAAGTCTAGCTGAGAAATGCTGGCAGGCAGGAAGTGGGCGCAAGGTTTTATAGATGCAGTGCCATGTGTGCAACGATGTCACAGAAATAGCCAGTGGGCAAGTGCAGACCTGACTTGCCGCTGAAATGCGCATGTGGGCCGCAGACAGACAAATATCATCGGACATCTCCGGCACTGCACATGTCCAGTGCGAATAGTGATTTTCCTGGTGTTTTCCACAGATGCCCTATGTCCGTAAACAAACATTTACGGACAGCCCATAAATGGTTAAAATTGACTGTCTGTCCGTAAATCTACAGATGGTTGGCAACCCTGGTGTTGATTGAACTACAACTACCAGACAGCAAGGTTGCTGGGAGAGCAGTTATCCAGTATTCTACAGCAAGAAACTGGCTCAGTCTCTTGGGGCAGGATTCAGTGCTGAACACAGGGGGACTGCGATTCTCCAGAGGCAGATTGCTGGCTACTACTGTAGGACTCAGCATACAAGTTCAGCACAGCAGTGGCACCGATTGCCACATCGGGACGGTCAATATCCAGTCTTCACACAGTCATCTCTGCTTGCCACGCTGACAGGCTGCCAAGCAGTATCTCTGCACTTCTCTGTGAACAGCCAAGAGCCTGTGCAAGAACCCTGTTCCTAGGAGGCTGTGCTATCTATGGGATTGGTGAGTAGACGAATGACCACCCTCTTTCTGACAACACATTAGAGACACTGCATTCAGACACTTTTATGCCTCAGTCACCAGGAGACCTTTGCTTTGAACATATACCACAGCCTGTTATCTTCACCGAATTACCATTACTCGCTATTGTGTATAGGCCCCACCATTGCTAGCAGAAGACAATGGCATCACATCAGGAACTTTAAATATCTCAGGACTCAAGTTGCCATTTCTAGTTAAATGGACCTATTTGCATCCAAGTCATTGCTATTCAAATTAGGGTGTCTATACTCATTTATGCCAGAGTATATATTTACATAATTCTTTGCATTCCCTATTGTGGCCCAGAGGGAGCTGATTAGTCAACAAGCCATTTCTTCCCCCTCCTGCTGCTAGTGATGCAGTTACATAGTTACAACCTACCATTTGTGACTGTATAATCTGTTAATCATTGATATTTTATCAGTGTTTTGCTTTTATGCATTAACAGGGGATTTACCCCCTAAACCTTTATTCTGTGGTCCACATTTTTGAACAAGCCTAATATAGAGGTGTTACTAAAGAATTCTGTATTGCATTTTTTTTTAATACTGTTGAAATATGTCTGAATCTAGAGTGTCAGAGGTGTTGGGAGGCTTGCAAGGTCAGGGCAACCACTGGGGACAAGCATTGTCAAGCGGCCCCTGAAGGGGTAGCGCTACACCAATAAAAGACTTCTAAGAAGAATTAAATTTATAATGGATAACATGTTATATCCAGGGAACTGATCCATCTGCTCTGGGGTGGTCAGTGTCCATAGTTATACAGGTAGGTTTTTTGGATCTCTGGACCAATATGTCTGCAGTTTTAAAATATTGAGCACGGTGGACATATGTATAAATAATCAGTTTATATCTAATCACTCAGGGCCTGACCCTACATTTTGTAGACCGATTAGAAGAGATTTTATACTCAGATTTGAATGTACATGGCCCACTTCACTGACATTACTTTATTAACAATTGAAGAAAGGAATGCTAGAAGACAGCAGAGGGGAAAGGGCAATTCACCAGCATTTCCTGTTGTCGAGGTCATTTTCTTATACACGGTTTTCATTCACAAGTCTACTTCGGAGATCAACAGCTGGTACTGAGTACATTGGGAGACAGATCAGTTTCTGAAGCAGAGTGGGAAGGTCTTCAGGCATATGCAAAAAAAATCTTGGTGAAACATCCCAAATTGTGTATATTGGCCTACGGGGAATGCTCATGAGACTCGAGTGTTATAACGAGTCCTATTTATATCTGGTGAGCCTTTTATCCTGGCATCACACAAAGATATGGGAACTTTTTAAATGATGAGATGTGAGTATGATATTGTAAGGATATGCTTTTATGCTTCTGAAAGATACTGCATTATGTAGATGTTTTTCTTCCTTTAAAATGTCAATTTCTGAGCCAAGGATTAAAGAAAGTGGAGAAGTAATGAAGTGGGTCTAGGAGAAGAAGCCTATTTGAGATCCTGTGTAAGCAAGTCTATTGGGTAAAAGTGTTATCTGACTCACTTTATTTTCAGGTCAGTTCAAGATATTTTGGTGAGCCAAAATTCTCCAAGAAGACATGGAGCAGTGTGGTGGAATTTTAGGAGTTAAAATGAGAATTGTGCAGTAAGGATTATTTGTCACTGACTTTATATTACTACTATATTTATATGACTTATTGGTTAAATCAGGGGTCCTCAAAACTTTTTAACAGGGGACCAGTTCAGTGACCTTCACACTGTTGGAGGGCCGGACTATAGTTTGAAAAATTATTAACAAATTCCTATGCACACCACACATATCTTAGATGTAGTGCAAAAAAACAGGAAATACAATACAATATTTAAAATGCACTGTACACTGTAATGCACTGGACACCACAATGCACTGTACACTAACGCATTTGACACCAAAATGCTCTATACACTGTAATGCACTTGACAACACAATTCACTGTACCTGGTGTGCTCTCTTCAACCTCTCCTGTTGCTCCTCTGGCTGCAGAGTGTGATATCAGGGGGTGAGTGTTCACCAGGCTCCACTCACTGGGTCCTTGCGGTCGAGGACCCAGCAAGCAGTCTAGCTATTTCCAGTGCGGAGCCTTTCCCCCCCACCCCCCCAATTTCTTTTTTTGTTGTGGCTTCCTGGCAGGCCAGGTAAATGACTTTGGCAGGCTGTGTGGCCCGTGGTTTGAGGACTCCTGGGTTACATGGTTAGCACTTCTGCCTGGCAGCACTAGGGTTGTTGGTTTAAATCCCAACCACGGCTCTACCTACTGGAGTTCGCATGTTGTCCCTGTGATTGTGTGGGTTTACTCTGTGTACTCCAGTTTCTTCCAGCACTCCAACCATGCTCTGTAGGTTAATTGGCACCTATCTAAATTGGCCCTTGTATGTGCATGTGTGACTGAGTTGGGAACCTTAGAGTGTAAGCTCCTTGAGGACAGGGATAAATATGAATGAAAATATTATTGTGATTTTTAATTATTTTCTGCATTATTTTCACATATTTATTTATTTGAGCACGTTATCACAGATGTTTCACTTGTATATGAAGGATATATGATGTAATCACAATGGGGTAGATTTACTAATGCTGGAGAGTGCAAAATTTGGTGCAGTGCAGTTTTAGTAAATAAACCCCTGTGTGTATAAGCCAATGCTGATATATGTATGGTTAGTTCCACTTTAATTTCTGTAGTAGTGGGTGTACAGGTTTAAATTACATTCTTACCAATGACCTCCTGATACTGTTTAATAACAGTTTTTGGGTCAGGGCCCAAAAAGATATACATGTCCACGATGCCTCCTATGGTCCTCCAGGTCAGGGCAGGAGCTGGTTGCAATATTACATCTAAAATAGAAAAACAAATACAGTATAAAGCTGGACCTTTTTTTCCCCAATATAGTCACCTTGACACCTAGATAACAAGCTAATCAGCCTTTAAAGTTATACTAAACCCACTGCTACAATGTTTGCTTTATATCATGTTTAAATAGTATTATATTTGGATCAGGGGCAGACTGACAACTCATGGGGCCCCGGGCAATAGGGGATCATGGGGCCCCTGTGTCCTTGCCCAAACTCAAAAAAGCCTATGAAAAAGGTACCAGGGGCATCTCATGGGGCCCCCTACTGACCCCGGGCCCTCGGGCAGTGCCCGAGTTTTCAAATGGTCAGTCCGCCCCTGATATCCTTCATTCCTGTAATAGGGTGCAAAAGCTGACCTAATCTCCAGCCCCTCTAATTACTTTTCTAGCAATCACTGTTCATAACAACAACAACAACAAAAAACCTGGCTGTGCTACCATGGTTATCTATGGCAATAATTGCACAAAAACATGAGCTTAGTCAGATGGAATTTTGGTCTCAGCAGAGTTTGATAAAAGGTAGTAGAGATCATGTATTTGGATTTTCATGACAATGATATTTACCTTGCCACAAAGCTGACATGGCATGTTTATGTCTATTTATGTTTGTTTGACTGCCTTGCTGTAACAACTTAGGCCTCCTTCAAACAAGCAATGATACTCATAGTATGAATGGGACTTTTTTTCTTCTAGGTTCTGTGTGCAGACAACCCATTGAAGTCTATTAGGACACATAACTGCATGGACTCAGCTGCTTGTAGTAATGTGACAGGCGTGTGGGTGAGTTTTGGGTGAAGTAGTTATGATTAGAGCCTTTATTAAGTCCTCACTCTCCCAAATGCCAACAGGAAGATCTCTCTAAAATTCACAGCAAGTCGGTGTTGTATTTGAAATTGATATCAACATGGACAAGTAAAATATTTAGGACTAACAGCTGCCATACACTCCATCTGATTTATTTAAGAACATCTTGGGGATGTAGCATTCAATGCAAAAGAGGAAATTCAAGTCAGGAGAGGAGAGCATGCTTCCAAGAACAAGCAAAACAAAGAAAAGCATCCATAGCAGTAGTGGTGTGGTGGGATATTTTGAGTTAAAGTGTATGCATTCAAAAAATGTTTCTTGCTTTTGAATAGTGTGGGGAAGTTTAGAACCCCTGTCAGGTTTTCACTGTTATTCAGAGCTCTCTTTCTGTCCTGCTGACAATGTTTCTTTTTGAGACACATTGCAATTGAAAGCTTTTCTGATTGTTAAACATGATCAAAATTTAAAAGTGTTAGTTGACCTTTCCCGAAAAAAAATGAAAAATGGTGAACTATTACCCTACACCCATCCTACTCACCTGTCCTGTTCCAGTTCTGAATATTTCAGTGTGTCCCTAGTGAAAAAAAGAGGAAAAAAGGCATGGTTTTCAAACCCCAGGACTGCTGCACTGGGCTGTGTGGGCGGTGACTGGTAAGTGAAGCATGGACTGAGTGGCTGGGTATAGGGTATTCATTCACCTTTTCATTTTTTAAATTTTATTTTAATTTTTTACCTTGTCATTGTCATTTTTTTTTTCTAACACTTTAATATTACACAATACATACCCATAGCATTACTATTGAGCAGGAATACTCCATAAGCAGAACCGTCTTTATCAAAACCCAAGTAAACTGGATGTGAACCATATAGATTAGCATCTTCCTAGAAGAAAAAGAAACACACAGGAGTTGATTTACTAAAACTTGGCATGCAATTTGCAAGTCACAGGGCATGCAAATTGCATGCCAAGTCGCATCCAGTGTGAACCAATTATTATTGTCAAAGCTTAATTGAACACATTAGAAGCCGATTGTCAACCATGCACAGCTCTGCACCAGATTTTGCAATCTCCAGTTTTAGTAAATCAACCCCACTTAAATTTGCTATAGTGTAGGTTAATTACTTGAGCACTGAGATGCAACTGAGATCTGAAAGCAATGTTAACAATCTTGTGGAGATTGATAAATAAAGAATAAAAGAAAAGAGAAATACTTTTTTTTTTTTTTTTTTTTTTTTTTTTAGAGAAAATGATACTCCATGCACCTCCAATTGCTGTCTACATGATGAAAAGCCTATGACTTTGGTCACATGATTGCTAATAAATTGGAGAATTCCATCAGCATACCTGAGCCTGGTGGGGTGGCAGATTAGGGGGGACTTGACCACAATATGACCATCTTTTCGGAGGCACGGTTAATTAGTGACAAGTCTATGTTTTGTTTTTTAAACCCTGTTTCCTGTAAAAATCTTGATGATTAGCAGCACACTGAAAAATGTTCTATTATAGAAGAGTCTAATCTTGCATTATTCAGAAATATGCACTCCACCCAACACAATTTTGTCCTAAGGGTTTACATGTTATATCACCTCCTCGCCCCCCATTTTAACCCCTAAAACTCTGTACCAGAATCTCATGCATTGCATGCAGTTGTGGTTCAACTGTCTTCAGTTGAATAGGTTGCATTCAGTGGGCACTACTGCTCTCAGATTGTGATTGGGGGATAATTTTTGGTGCAAAGCATTGTGGACACAGCATGTGTACAGCCCCATCCGCAGCTTTGCAGCTTAAGGGCGAGTGGTTGTGGGGCAGTAAAAATATGGTTCAACCTCAGCTTATCTACTTGCTGAATGATATGTATAAGAAACATTGAACTGGGATGGATGTGCAGTTCTGTATAAAGAATAGTAGAAGACTGATCTAGATATATAAAAAAGCTGTAAACTCTGTAGGTAGTTTTTAACTCAGAAGGATGACAGTAATTGTGATTTGTATACCACTATAGGATGATATTACTGAGATAGGGAAAAGTTTCAGGTTTTTGTCAACCTCTTGATTTTTCTGAAAGAACTCTCCCACCTCCTGAATCTGAGTCGCATGCAGGGTCTCTGACATTTTAACCTCCGATATACCTTTAGCCGATGATACTTGAAGGGAAATGTATGTCTTTTAGGTCTGTCATTTTGTTTTTCCCCACTCCATTTTATATTCCATGTTGATTAATTGTTTTGTATTATAACCAGAATGAGTTAATGAAAATATGCTCTGTCAGTTATCTGTTACAGAACTGTACTCACAATATTCTTCTATTTTATATCTTAGCTTAGCCTTGGTAGAGGAGGAGATAGTATCCAATTATTTCTTTGTATTAACAAGCACCTGTTTCTGTTATGATACAATTAAATGTCAAATATTTCTGTCCCATGAGAAAATAATTGTTTGTTACTTATAACTGATTACAATGCCTGAGAAAGATCATGTTCACAGCCTTGACAAGTATCTAGCCAGATTCTATTGTATGTAGCAGATAAGTTTTTTGAAATATTATAGACACGTTCCTTATTTCTGGGAAAGTTAAATTTTGCTTCTCATCATTATTCAGGATTGACGTAAATGCTTGTATTTGTATTAAGCCAATCAATTACTGAGAATTAAGTTTTTCCCAGATACTCTGTGCCCCCCACCTTTCTTTTTTGTTATATTAATCCTCTTCCCGCTAATAAAAAATGTAGATTGATTTCACCTATCACTCTGTGCACTTGTCTATTACTTAGGTGAAGTTAGTCTTCTGGACGTCCATACCTTCAAACAGACTGATCAAGACAGATAGCCAGGGGCTAGCGACAACCTTTCAATACTAAAGGGTTGTTTTCCTTCTAAGAGAACCTCCTGATCCTTCCAGTTATATTAGACTAACATGGTATTTTTGGTAGGACTCTTTCCAGGCTAGTATACCTGGTGTTTTACATCACTCATTTTCTTCTCACATCTCATAGCCACTTTAGCAGAAATGTACTCTCTAAAGTGTGCACCAAAACGAAGACTCAGGTGGCATAGTCAAGGACTACCAATGATCTGGTGCCCCTTGACAGATTTTGGGAGATCCATAGCAACCCTTTGTTATAATCCTCAACTACTTGGTAAATACTGAGCCATAAAAAATGCTACTGAATCCTTTCTTTGCTTTTTCTTGCAATAAATGACCACCCAACTCATGGGAATGAGCCAGATTCTGTACCATCATCATGTAAAACTGGAGAATCATCAGCTACTCCACAGTTTGCTCCCATTCCTTAACTTTTGCCCAACCTTCTGTCAGTATGTCCTATGTTACCGATTCCGCCCCTTACACGTTACGCCAGAGTCACGTGGCTTAATTATTTTTTCTGATTATATTCTATCCTATGTAATAGCAAAGATATTGCCGGATAATTAGGCTCATGGTGGAATTTAAAAATTGCTCTGGTCTGTACAGGGGTATAAAGGTTTGAGAGCTGAAGTGGTTAAAATATGTTTAACACCCTGCAGAAATACTGGCTGCAGCATGTGAAATGGACACAAGATGGCAGTGTTCTGCAGCTCAGTTACACAGACTCTGCAGTAGAGGCTTTGTTGGACTTGTAGGCTGATAGCAGGACTTCCTTGCTTAACCGCCTCCCGCCCGCCATATAAGGTAATGACGGGCGCAAGCCGGTTCTCTCTTTCTCTCAGGACGTCCTCCTATTCTAACCGCGCATGTGCGGCTCAGGCAGCGCGAAGAGCTGTGAACCTCGGACACAGCGGATCACCGATCAACAGAAAGAGCCAAAGATGTCAGCTCGGTCATGGGATCAGCTGTGTCCAGTCACAGTTGATCACATGTAAAATAGGGAAATGCCGGTTATCGGCATTTCCCTCCTCATGAGCTGTCATGCTGACAGCTTGAGAGGAGAGGAGAGCCGGTAATCAGCTTTACTCAGAGGGGACATAAACATTGATCATCAGGGCACATGGGGGGCCCCGTCTACAGAGAGACTATCCACTACCTGACCGAGGCCACGGATAGAGTGAGAGAACTCCATACCCAAATCATCTATGTTGCAAATGACATTGCAGTTACTTTCTTCTCAGTTTAACACCCTTTGTTTTGCAAGTTACATGTGCTAAGGCCTAGATTGTCCAGCCTATCCTGCCTTGCGGTCTACTGATGATTGCACTTTCAATACATCAAATCACCAGAGCCTGCTTCAATATTTGTATTAGTTGTATTAGTGCTTCACTTCCAGTCTGTCATTTGTCAAGGAATTTCTTTATCACTGTAGTTTTATTAAAGAGGAACTAACCCATAAAGAAGAGTGTTTCTGCCCCTTTCCTTAATTTCAGCCTAATTTTAGATTTCACTCTGTGTGTACTAAGGAGACACGTTCCGAATTCAACATAGTTACATATTATAGTTACATAGTTAGGTCTGCCTGAAAAAAAAACATTACTTAAAAAGGAGCAGTTCCCTTTTCTTTGTGCTCACCCCCTCTTAAGGAAATCCTGTCTTTGCATCAACAAAAGATTTAAATCCTCATGTGCACCCACTAAGGCCCAATTGAGCACTGAGAAGATTGGACATTTAAAGGGACATTTACCTATCTAAATAAATAACTTTTTTCTTTCTCAGAATTAAACCCAGCTACCAGTAACTGAGAGCCCAATGTAAGTTAACCTGCCAATTTAATTGTTTCTTTTTCTGCTCACTTGGGAAGAAACATCTCAGGGCTGGGGTTACCATTTAAATTCTGAATTGCAAGACATTCAGAATTGATTTGGGTATTAGCTGTTTCCATGCACATACTTTCTTATTGTTCTACTCTGCTTGCATTTTGATCTCAATATAACCAAAATATCAGTTCACTCTAAACTGTATGTGAGTCTATTTTATGATTGTAGCCAGAGAGTTCTTCTGGCCAAAGGTTTAAGGTGGTGTTAGCAGAGGATGGGCTTCCAAAGCAGGCTCAGGAAAGACAGAGAACCCGAAAATTACTCAACGACCTTCAAGGGGGTAGTGTTACATGTGGGGGCTTATCCAGGATATCCCTGTCCAGAGAGTTGTGAGCCTCAGGAAGAGAGCATGCAACCCACCGATGCAGGTACAGAGAGTCCTGGAAGGGGTGTACCTGAGCCCTCTACTTCGACTGATGTTGCTGAAGGAATATCTGCCACCAGTTTGACTGAACTAAGGAAGTTCATCGAGACCCTGTTGAAAAGCTCTACTTTAAATCACCAGTTGTAACTATCGAAGATTGGGATGCTCCACTGGTAAGACACCCACTACACTTGAAGATGATGACTTTGACACTTGGATTGATCAAGCTATAGACGGCATAGAAAAATGGGAGGTAGCTGATGCTGTAAAGAGGCAGAGAGTAGTAAAGAGCTTATGAATGCCTGCCTCCAACATTGTGCGGAACCTAAAACAAGACAAGCTGGGCTGTACTGCACACGAGTACCTTGAGGCTTTATGGAGTAGTATTTGGGCGAATTGAGAACTGTACAAAGCTGACATACTTGTTTGAACACACATATCAGCAGGAAGGAGAGAATCTGTCCAACATAGTGTAAAGGCTGGACAAGGCCCTTTGGGCCTAAGTGCAGAAAAGGGCGCAACTGCTAGACCCATTTGTACAGAAGCTCAGGGTCATTTATTTTTATGGCTCAGTGACTGTTAAAACTCAAAACTGTTAAAGACTATATGAGAAGAAGAGACCATAATGGCAGCCAAAACCCGAAAGGCAAAAGTCCTGAGTGGGACTATGCCAAGGGCCTCGTCCTGTCTCACTCAAGCTATCTTGATTGCAGACGGAGTGCCTGACATTATTATATTATGCAGTATTTATATAGCGCTAAAAGGTTTGCT